AAAAATGCAATGGTTAAACAGAGAATCAGTCACAAAGAAACAGACTGACTTGGAAGAAAGGGTGTGTTTTTTTCTGAGGAAGAAACAGTTTCTGTTCCGACTGTGGACCAGGGGCAGTCTCTGTGTGGTTGCACAGCGTCCCCCTCCAGGCACTCAGCTGAGCTGGAGATGCTGTGCCAGTGCAGGCAAACCCTGATCCAGCACCCGTGGCAATTGCTGCTCCCACGGCAGTGCCAGAGGCAGGGAGTGCATCCACCAACCCACTGCCTGCGGCAGCAGAGGCTTTCCTGGGGTCGTGGCCTTTCCCAGAAAGGCAAAATGCTGCTCTTGGAAGGAAAAGCAGCATGGGGTCTGGGTGTGGCACCTTGAGCCCTCCCCTGACGTGCCCGGGTCCAGTCAGTGTTGCCTCGATGACTCACCAGTGGGACAATGACACGTTTCTGAAACATCTCACCGGTTTTTGGAGACTGGAACCAGATGACAAAGGGCTCCCTGGAGAAGACATCCTCATCCCCAGGCTGGGTGTCAGGGTACTGGTAGGTTTGTTTCACTGATACCAGATGTTGCCTGCAGCAGAATGGACAGGATAGGGGATGTCACGGTCGTGGCTCGCTGGAACTTGTCTAACACTGACTCCATGCTCGGACCCAGACGACAGATACAGCAGCACTAGTGGCTGTGTCTGGGATGATCCCCACACCCAGGCACAGCCCATCCCACCCACAAAGCCTGCACATCTCCAGCTCCCTCAGAGCAAAGCCACCACCATGTCCGGCCTGTCTCTGTGGGACTGTGACCCGGAGGGCAGGATGAGGGCTGGCTTGTTGGCAAGGGGCCTCACTCACCTGTAGATGAAGACATACTGCTCCTTGTAGCTGTTCCTTCCCAGCCTCTGGCTGGCAATGCACCTGTATTCATCCTTTGGCTCCTTCAGCTGACTGGAAGGAAAGTGGTGTTCCTGAGTTCATTTCTGCACTCAAAAGCAGTTGAGAGGGAGGTAATTTTGCCTGTGCCCAAGGGTGTGGGATGTTGCCTGCCTGACCTCAGAGGCAGGTGGGTAAAGACACTAAGCCCTTCTCAGGAGCTGGACCCTTTCTCCAGCGCTGGCTCTTCATTCAACCTTATCCCTGCTCATTGCAGCCTCTGTCTCTCCTTCAGCTGAGTCTCACGTCCAGCCAGCCAAACACCGCTGTTTTGTCTGGACTGCCACTCCAGGCTGTCAGTCCCTAATCTAAAGCAATTCCCAGCCCTGCAGGAAGGTGGCTGTCCTGCTGCAGCACCAGTCTGGTGAGGGCATTTCCCCTCCCTTCTTCCTTCCTTTGGGAATTAATCTGTAGCAAATTGAATCTAACTTGGTTATACTGATTTAAAAGTGTGTTCTACAGTGGTCTGGAGCTGGCTTTGCCCCTCTCCCTCAGTGAGACTGCCAGAGCCTGGTCCTTCCTTGATGCTGGGACAGGGCCCAAATCCTAAGATTTTGCCCCAGTAGGGTGGCACTGAGCAGAGCACAGGCTCTTGCCAAGTATCTTTCCCAATATTTGCCCATTTGCCCTTGGCCACCCTACCTGGTGAGCTCCTCCACTAGGAGAGGACAAACACGGTTCTTGTTGTCCTTTATTTCCATCAGCAACATGATGTCACAGCGAGAAATGATCTGCAAGGGGAAGGAGCAGGAGGAAGTTCACACATGGTGGGTTTTGGGGGATTAGGAAGGGGTTACAAAGAAGTGGCTACTGGTGTGGGGGAAGTCCTTTGTGGAAGAAGTGGCACCCAGCCTGGGATCATGGGAGGGGAGCAGTGGCTGGAGCGAAGCTCTTCTGCTTTCTGAGCAGCTGCACGCCCCAGCACGAGCTGGGAGAGGAAACTCGGGAGCAGAGTGGTTTCACATTTAGTGAAAAACTTCTGCACGTGCCCCTGAGGAGGAAGTGTGGAGGGGAAGGGGCAGCAAGAGCCACTGCTGTGAGCCTGGTCCCCCCAAGCCACTGCTGGGGTGCTGCCCCTGCCCACCCCCCTTTCCCTACGGTCAGCATTCACCCATCCCAGTCTGTTGCAGACCCTCTGAAATAGCCCCTGGAGCCCAAAGCAACCTCCTCTCTGAAAACAGGGCTGCACAGCTCAGAGGGACAGCAGGGCTCAGCTCCTGCAGCTGCTGTTGGGATTCCCCATGGGAAAGCCCAGTTCACACTCAGCCCAGCATGGTCAGGGGCTTCTCTCTGCCCCTGGTTTCATTGTTCTTTAATCTTTGTGGGTGATTTCTGTCAGGAAAAAAGCACCCCTTTCTGCCCCGTGAAACTTACCCATAATTACCTAAATTACCCATAATTTAGTAGATATTGCCCACAGCGATGACAGTACAAGAAGAACGGTCTGGAAATGCAAAGCCCACGCAAACCCCTCTTCTCTGGCAGTTTGCAATCAAAGTATTAAAACCCAATTACATGGTGCCATTCCTTGTTGGTGCCGCTCAGGACCCACAACCATCCCACTAACGCCGAGCACCATGTTCTCCCTTACTGCGGCATCTTGGAGGGCACTTGCAAAAGCTAAGAGTCTAAAATGTGGTTCTTTTAAAGGGCAGAGTTATCTTCAGCTGCTGCAGAGGCAGCCTGATGGTGAGGGTTTGCTCATATAAATTAGTAATTGGGCTTTTCGGATTTGCAGCAGACTCTAATATGACAGATACTCTCCGCTGTCCTGAGAACAGGTTTAATTAGACAAGAATATTTCAGAATGACTAGCACATAAGGAAGGCAAATAATGTATCACAAAACAAAGCTCTGTGGATTCGAAGTGGAAATTACTTTTGCTGAGCACTGAGGTTTTCCTCCTTTCCTAACTCCGTTTTCCAAAGGAAACAGCAAATGTTGTTTCTGTTATATTCTCACGCAGGCTAAAATAACAGCAAACATCCTATTCAACCACAGGCTGATTTTTACATTCAGAGTACAATTTTTTTTAAATTATGCGCTCATTTTTTCACTTGAAAAGAAAAATAAAGTGAAAGGTAAATAAAGTGTAAGATTCCACAGCTAAGAAACGCTCAGAAAACTCAATGTCTGTCTCATCCAAGCAAACGAACGTACCTTTACCACGGCATCAACGACTTCAGGTCTGGCTATTTTAGTTTCTCCAAAAGACCTCACATTGAAGGAGCAAAGTTTTAGGCTCAGAGATGGGTTGAAATTGAAGAGTGAAAGTAAGAAGAGGAGCAACATCTTGAGGGACTTGGGCAAAATGAGTTGCTGCGAGTGTGCCTATAAATATGTATGTGTGTGTGTTTATGCACCCGTCCCTCTGCAGCTGGTTGGGAGGTCAGATTGAGCAGTCAGCTGTATCCATCACGACCAGGAATCACCATTTCCTCCTTTCCCTCATTTCCATCTCCCAGCACAGAGCAGCATGGAGACTTTGAACTTGTGCCTGGGGGGAAAAGTGGCTCTGCTGAGCCAACCTCCCTGTCCTGGCAGAGCAACTGCTCCACCAGAACTCAGAATCCCTCCCCACGGAGAGACACCCATCGTGGGATGCCTCCCATGACTGAGCACTAGTTGGGACCACTCCAGGCAGTGCTGGGCCAGGACCAGGCTCCCTGGGCCAGTCCAAGCCAGAGGTCAAGACCAGGAGATGGATGGGGTAGATGGTGAAAGGGTCTGGGAAGCAGCAGGGGTTTCTGGAGGGCACCAGAAGTCCCACTGGAAGGGGCTGCAGGGCAGCCATGGGAAGATACGTGATGCACTGTCCTTCAAACTCCTGGCCAGGTGTTCCCAGCACAGCAGTCTCGGTTTGTGCGCATGGGTCTGGCTTGTGCTGTGTGGTGGAAGGGCAGACATGAGTTTGGCCAAAACAGCACTTGAGTGAGGATGCTGCAGGTGGGATGGTTCAGTCACCTGAAGTGGTTTTTACAGGGAAACCATCCCCCTGCTGTCCCTTAATCCTCTGCCACATGTCAGCCCTCAGACAGGGACACATTTGTTGGCCCCCAATCAAGTATAATGTCAGGAGGTATAACAAGAGGTCAAGCTAAATGACATCTTTAAGCATCTTGGATTTTTCTCCCTCTGCTTACAGGGCGCTTTCATATCCTCCTTCCTTTCTCTGGGAACAGCCACGCAGCCTGTCTGCACCCCACTGCCCTGCTCACACAGCCACCCATGCAAGTCTGATCCGGAGGCACCAGCACACAGCTCCCAACGCTGTCTGAACCAACTGAACAGGCTCAGATGGAGCTGGCACAAAATGCAGTTCATGGAGGGGCTCCCAAAGACGCAGCACAGCTGAAAGCAGTGGGATCCACGTCTTGCTGGGGAGGCAGCTGCAGCTCTCCAGGGAGCATGATGCAGATGTTGGAATGGGCACCACAAATCCGTTTTGGCCAGACAGGGATTTCGAGCACTGGCTGCTAGCAAGGGACACGCCACTGTGCTGCCCCAGTGTTTGCTACCCAACCCAGCTACAGGGGAAGTGAGCATGTGACCCTCCGAAATAACAGAGCTTGGGCGCTGCTTCCTCTCCGCCGGGTCTTCAGTGAGCTGGCCCAGGGCAGGACAGGCTCTGGAGAAAACTAATAAAGAGGGAGGGAAAATGAAGGTCTTGGGGGTTGTAAATCTCCCACCTGACCTTCCTGAAAGCACAGCCTGAGCTAAGGGCTTGCGACAGCAGCTGCAGCCTCGGGGTCACAGTCATCAAAACCCTCAGCTGTCCCCAAAACGAGGCTTGTTTTGGCTACCCTGGCATCAAAGAGTAAATGTTTGTTGTGGTGCCCGTGAAGGCTCCGACCCTGAGCCTCGCCTATCAGTGCTGTGTTTGTCCCCAGGGCCCCTGGCTTATCAGCCTCCCCTTGCCCCTCCACCTCAGGCATTATCAGGGGGACAGGCAGTGGCCAGGTGACCTGGGGGGGGGGGGCACTGGGAGCTCACATTCCTTTCTGCACTGCTTTATCTCCCTGTTTACTGCATTTCCTTTGCTCCTTATCAGACCATAAAACAGCCTCGATGGTGCATGAACATTGACAGTTCAGGCCTGCCCTGCTCTTGCACAAGAGGGTGAAGCTGCTGATGAAACCAATACAGGTTGGGGTTTCTGTCCCTACATGGAATGATGTCAGGTGAGCAGCACCTGTGGGACATTCCTTAATAAAGCCCCTCCTCAGCCTCTCCCTCCTCCCAGGGGAAAGGCAGGTGATGAGACAGAAGGCAATGCCAAAGCCAGTTTGGGCAAGAGCTCAGAGCAGTGAGTAGGTGCTGCCCAGGGCCCTTCAGCCGAGCTTTGCTGACAGACCCTACAGGGCATGGGGGCTGTGGCTGGTGTGTTGCTACCTCTGGAGCAGCAATTCAGCCTTCCATCTTCTTTCTGCTTCCAAGAAGGTGCTGTGGGATGGATGACAGGATGTGTCCCTATGTAAGTGCCTGCTTAGGGTCCCCATGGGACAGTGGGGTATGACGGTCTGGCAGCGATGTGGGGGTTCCTCCTCTCCCTTCAGGCACAGACTCTTCCTTTTGGTCATGGTCCTGGCTGCCCTTGGGTCACCCGCAAAATGGTTTTTCCTGGCAGAGATGGACTGAGAGGATCTCTGAGGTTTCCTGTGCTTTTCTGTGAGGGTTGCAGGCAGACACTGCGGGATGAGCCCACATCTCCTCCTGCTCTGCCAGAGGAAGCCTATTCTGAGCTTGAAGCGCCGTGTGACTCATACCCCATGGGTGCTCCCCCCCACTGAACACCCCATGAGTTCACCCTGGGACTGTGCTGAGGCTTCATTTCTCCTCTGCGGGCAAGACACGTTGTCTGTGCTGGTCAGGGGTTTGATACTGCTGGGGTCACCAGTGCTGCTGTGTCCTTTCTACAAAGGGTGCAAAGGCTGGCCCAGTCTGCCTGAGCCCTGGTCTGTTGGGGTGCCCCTGCTCCCCCACTAAACAGCCCCATTAGCCTGTCCCCCCGAAGGGGAGCATGTGGCTCCAGGGAAGCACAGGCAGAACAGGCAGAGGTGATGTTGGGTGCGAGGGGGCAGTATGGGGATGAGCACTGCCACACTGGTTCTCTCCAGGTGCCACCACAGCTCTGTTTTCCAGAGCTGGGCTCCCCCTTCCACATACCAGGCTTTAAGGTGTCTTGTGTGTCTTGATTTTCACCATTTTTACCCAAATTGCAGCTCTGTCTACATCTGCTGTGGTGAGGGGAAGACCATAAAGGACCAACCCAAAGTCACCAGCATCATCATGAAAGTAGGTTCTTTGGGGCAAATGAAATGACCTTTGGTTTCTTGGTGACCTCATCACAACCATGAGGCAGAGTATTTTATCTCAGTCTCCCGGAATTTCAAGTTAATAAGTAGCAAAGCACTTGGGCCATTTTGTATTTCTAAAGTTCATAGCTGGGCTGCAGACCAAATATGGTCATTTGGGAAGTGGCTTCAGTGCCAATGTAATGGCAATAAGTGTCCTGGAATGACCCTCTGGAATTTTCGTGTAATGGAGGGTAAAAGCATTTGGCGTGCAAGATACATGGAATGTTTTGAATCAATTCTTTGATGCTTAATTTTTATTTATAATTCTGGAAGGTATGTGTTCTATTTAATTACTGTTAGGGCATAATTCCTTTGCTGATCCAGGACTCTGATAGGGTTTTCTTTTTCAACTTCATACGTCAGTATTGTTCAACTAGTGGCTTGAAGCGTGACAGCCTGCCTGCTATAAGGCAGTGCAAGGAAAAATGCCTCATCATGTTTTCAGTTTCTTGAATGAAGCCGTTTAGCTGAGCTGTAGGGCGGCACAAGGTAATCTGAAATACAGGCTTTGATGCGTGACGAGGAGATGAGGCTTTGAAGTTATCCCTCCAGAAAGATATTGCAGCCACCAAATAAGCAGGTTTTGTGACATTAAGTACACCTGCATTGTTAGCAGTGAAAGATGTAATTAAAATGTGTGTAATATATGCATTGACTTTCAGTAGTTAAGAAAGTATTATTTAAAGCTATTACATGGAAAGTAGGTCTAGCTTTATGATGTTTTAAAAGGTGGGAGCTTGTGTTTGTCCCAGGTTGTGCAATGAAGCCACTTAGGAGTGACAGGGCAGCTGCTGAAAGCGGTGCCCAGAGGAGTTATTTACCCCTGTGCTCACTGGGAGCTGCTGTTTGCAAACTGGAGCCAAGATCTTATCCCTGTCCTGGGGGGTGAATTTTGGTAGCTGTATGTTAATAAAGTGTCGCACTGCTTTGGGCATGGCAAGGTGCCACGGTGGGCTCTGGGGCACCCGCCTGCCCCGGCGCTCTCCCGTGCCCACAGTCCCCTGGGGATTGCTCACGGCATCGTGCCACAGGGCCACCACCACGTGAGTGGAAATACATGGGGACTTGTCACCCTGGGAAGATGATTCACCTCACCAAAGCAGCGTGCTGTCACTTGTTATGATTACAAACAGCCTCACCATGTGCCCTGGGGATCCATCACCCAGCACTGGGAAATAATATGGAAACTTTTCATCTGGTGGAGCAGTGCTGCTTCTCAGCTTGGTGAGGCAGAAGCTGGAGTTCTCCATAGCTACCCTGGCCTGAATCCAACCAGAACTTCCACCTTCCTATGGAAAACAAGACTGTTTACATGAAAGTCTCGTTTACTGATTTCTGCCATAAGACAGCTAATTCTGATTACTTTTAATTTTTTTTATCCTGCAGTTGCTCCGATATAGGGAGACATTTTGTTTCTAACTGCATCATAAGTCATTGTTGTGGTCATCCTGCATCCTGCTCACAGCATCAAAGCTGTGCTCTTGTGCTGATGGGAAGCCCAGCTTCTGACCCTGGCATTGGGAATGAGTAATTTTCTGCTGAGGGCCAGGAGAGCTGGCAGTGGGCTCCGAAATGCCAGCAGCCTTGAGGGGTGACGCAGGGGTGACTCGATCCTCACCAGCTGCTACATCTGTGTGATGAGTTGTGTCTGTGGGCTGAGAGGAGAAACAAAATTCATGGGGCAGGTCAGTGCAGGCACTGGCCTTTAATTTTGGCTTGCCACAGTGCAGCCACCCCAAACATGGCCTCACGAGGTCCTAAGGAGGTGCCCAGGGAGCTGTTGGGGCTCCCCCTGAAGCTCATCTGCTCCCTGCAGGAGCAGGGAGCCCAGCTGTGCCCTGAACTCTCCCCACAGCCCCCCATGGCATCCGGAGAGCCCAAGGTCTCCTCTACTTTGCTGGGCCAGAGGATCAGCCCCTGCCTGGCAAAGTCACCAGAGCACTGTAAACTGCCTCACCAGGGCTGTGACCTGTTGAAGCTGTGGTCTCATCCCAATGGTGGTTGGCTCAGGAGAGCCCTGATGATCCCTCCTTTCCCCGTCGCCAATGAAGTCTCCCAATGACTCTTCCCTGTGGCTGCACGCTGAGATTGCAAGAGCAGATTCCCTGGTTGGCTCATGCCATGTTTCAACATAAAACCACTGCATGTCTCTGCTTCGGCTTCTCTATTTCAAGAGCCATAATTCGCCATGACTATCTCCAGGGACTTCCCACCAGGTGGCCTGGAATAGCCGTCATGTGGGTAATCCATCCCTGGAGTGAGTCAGCGCTGCCCTGCACGTGTCTCACGGGAGCCTTTGGCCATGCACAAGAAAGCTGAACAAAGAAATACGACTGTAAACAATGTTTGGAGGCTTGTGAAATACCTCCCATGTCCGATTAGGTCACTTTAGCGGAAGCTCAACTTTGTTTTGCCCAGCTTGACTGGGAAGCTCTTTAAAGAAAACCCAGAGCAGGCTGTGCCTCACCTTCACCAGGCCACCTAAACCCCTTGATTTTAGTTATAAATCTCTTCTAACAGCTCATGTTATCAAAAGCTTATGGTTATCGCAGTAAACTCTGACCTGGAAAGCCATTTATACCAGTTATCTCTCCCAGCTGGGCAGACCAAAGGGACATCCTTTATCAAAGCACAGGTGGGGTGAGGACTTGACCCAATTTGCATTTACTCAGGAGCTGATCTCATTTCCAATTTAATTAAGTTTTCTCATATTTTTTGGCATATCCTAAAGGTACGCACCAGCCTGATATATGACCCAAGGGGAATGAACATAAATTGCTTATAGCAAAAGAATTCAGATGGCAGTTTTAAGAAAAAACAGAGCAGATTTTAAATGCAGGTTGAAATGCAGCTCCTGAGAGCAAGCAGTGTCATCTGTTGGGAAGAGAGAGCAGGTAACAGGCTTGTAACCTAAATGGCAGACTTACTCTTATACTGGAAATAGGACTTTTATCAGTGGGATGCTCTGATTTCAACCTTTGTGCCCTTTCCACAGGAAACACGGCAGAACTCTGTGCTCTCTAATCACAGCCCACACCAGGACCTGGGAAGGGGACAGCTGTTCCCCATTCCCATGTTTGCTCCCAGGCCTTGTGCAAGGGGACTGTGAGGTCTCTCTGTGGGGTGCAGCACTGCATTCCCCTCCATATCTCTGTGGCAGATACTTCCCTGTTGTAACCCCTGTTTTATCTTCTTGTTGTAACCCTGTTGCTGCCATTATCAAATTCCCTTTTTTATCCCTGTTGCATCTCCATGGCAACCCCATTGTATAACTTCTGTAATCTCATTGGATCTTCCTTGAATCCCTGCTGTGTGTCCCTTGCATACCCCCATACATCCTTGCTGTATCCCTGTTGTAACTGCATACCCCACTGTACCCCCTGCACACCCTAAACCAACTATAGCCCTCCCTTGCACCCCCACTGAAGTCCCATCACATCCCTCTGTTGCCACTCTGTATTCCCCCCTTTGCACCTCATTGTAGCCCCTCTTCCATCCCTCTTATACCCCTATTTTATATCCCACCTTTCATCCCAGTTATGTACCACATGCATTCCCACTGCAGTCCAGTTGCATCCCCCCTGCCACCCCACTGAATTCCTGTCACATCTCTCATTACAGCTCCACTGCATCCCCCCACTGCACCCCCCCTTTCCACCCCGTTCCCTCCCATGGAAGCCTCATTACTTCTCCCCTTGCGCTCCTTTTGCAGCTGCATTGCACCCTCCCCTTGCACCTCCACTGCCATCCCTTCACATCCCCCGGCTGTAGCCACCTCGTAGCCTGTGTTCACCCCCATTATACCCCATCTGCAGCCCCCCACTGCAGCCTCCCTTCCATCCCTGTGGCAATCCTCCTTGTACCCTCATGGAAGTCCCATTACATTTCCCATTTGTACCCCCACTACGGTCCTATTTCATCCTTCCTTGAGCTTCCATTGACGTCCCTTTACACGCCCCCACTGTAGCCGCCTTTCAGCCTTTGGGTACCCCCGTTGTAGCCCCAAAGCCGCCCTACTGCATCCCCCCCCCTTGCACCGCGTTGCAACCCTCCCTTTCCCCCCTATTTCATGCCCCTCTCACCCCGGCTGTATCCCGCCTATCCCCCCTCGGCATCCCGCCCCGCGGAGCCGCATCCCCGCCTCTCGCTGCGCCCCGCGGAGCCGCACCGGCGCGGGGGGAGGGCGCAGCGGAGCCGCCGCGTTTCGCCGCTCGGCGCTGCCATTACGGCTCGGCTCGGCTCGGCTCGGCACGGTGAGAGGCGGGGGGGCGGGATGCGGGGCTGACAGTAGCAGTGACAGAACCGGGGGGCGACCGAGGGGGCAGCCGTTCCGGCGTGCGGGTCTCCCCGCTCCCAACCCTGGCATCGCTGGCGGTGGGCAGGAGACCGGGAGCAAAGCCAAAATGCAAGGAATAATTTCAAATGTATATTTCTAAAAATTTAATTAATTTGTCTTTAAATTCTCCCCC